GAGAGAGAGAGAGAGAGAGAGAGAGAGAGAGAGAGAGAGAGAGAGAGAGAGAGAGAGAGAGAGAGAGAGAGAGAGAGAGAGAGAGCTTTTTTTTTGTGTGAGAGAGAGAGAGTGAGAAACTTGTTTTGGGGATTGCATACATGCATGCGTGTGCTCGCGCGAGAGACCCTTGGTCAGAGAGAGAGAGAGAGAGAGACTTTTTTTTGTTTTTTTTGAGAGAGAGAGAGAGAGAAACTTTTTTTTTTTGGTGAGAGAGAGAGAGAGAGAGAGAGAGAGAGCATTACTGTGACGGCCCGTAGTTCGTCTGCCCGCTTCGCGGTCGTGTCAAGCTGGACGTAGGATCCGCGTCCGTATATTGCCGAACCTGTGGGGAGATTCGTATCGAATCATCCCTGCAGGGTCGGCTGTATACGGATGCGGATCGTATGTCCAGCTTCCAGGACTGCCAACCGGGCAGACTATACGGGCTGTCTCTCTCTCTCTCTCACGCACACCTACACACACACACACACGTACGCACTCACACTGAGGGCATACTCACACTAACTTTTGCACGTATTTGTGGACGGAATTGCAGCCAGATACATCCAGGAATGGCGGTGAACACAGTCAGATACATTTGAGATACTGCTGGTGCGAGTACGCCCTTGCACGGACGCGCGTGCACACACACACGCCCACACACACACACACACACACACACGCACACACGCGCGCGCACACACACACACACACACACACACACACACACACACACACACACATATCGTAAATGACGAGAATCGGCGCGTATACGGCTGGGAATTTTTTTTCCACTCGTAAGTTTTTTTTTATTTCCGTTGTTTCGTCGTTTTCTTTGTTTTTGTGTTTTCTCTGTGCTCCACGTACAGAATTGTGGACCGGCCCATGTTTCCACATGGCCAGCCGGCCTACCATTGAACCCGGTAGGCCAGCGCCCATGCCCACAATGGTTCCGGCTGGAATTCGCCGCCGACCTTCGACCGGCCCTACTGGGATTTTCCAAGGCACTGCTGCAGGTTACTGTAGACAGTGGGAAAAATAGGCGCGTGAACTGGTGACGCTGCTATCGTCCCCGAAACGCACAACGCACAATCTGATTTATCTCTGAGGTAGCAATGGGGTACATGTATTGCTGATCATTGAGGAATGATGCTGGATGGCACTGCACAGGATTACAGTGCACGACCTCTGCACTGTGAAAAAGACGAGACAAAAAGGGGGGTTATCCATGCATCCACGTAGCACATTCATTCCCCGGTGTAGGGTGTGACAATGATATCTGTATCTGGCGATTCTGGCCTGTAAATTTCTTAAAATACAGCATGTGCAATTAATCGGCATGTGAGAAGGAAGAACGCGTTGAAGATCATGCATGAATAGAGTGAAACCAGAACTGACAAGACTGAGAGCACACCAAAGCATGGACACACACAACACCGAAGTCACTTGACGACAACAGCCCTCTTCTCGCCTGCAATCATTAATAAGACAACTATCTAGTAGCCCTAGGTTGTGTATGTTACCGTCTACACTATTTCCCTACACTAGCCTATCAAGTGGCCTCCTCTTTTTCCTTGTGTGTCCAATTCTCTCACCTAATGCCACTGAAGAGTACATCCCGCAGGTGCTCTCCCGCCAATCACCAGGGGAGTACGACTGTCCCCACACCCTGGACTGTGCTCTCCGGAGGGCCTCCAGTGCTCCTTGCCACCTGCCTGGACTGTGCTGCCCTTCCTGACGATGGCCAGCGCTAGAGCGGCTACCACATGCTGGTCTGTATGCTGGTCTGTATTTCCCGCCGGTCTGGGTCTCGACCTACATACCTGCCTGGTCTGTATCCCGACTCTCGGCCGACCTGGTAGTGACCTCGGCTGCCTTCACTTAAGGCTGCGGCACACTCAGAACCTCACACATGGCGGTGTGTAGTAACTTAGAAATGGATGTCTAGATTACGGGCTTCCCACGAACACACAGCATGGCCGTATAGCTGTGTCTGGCTTGAGAATTGCTGTTGATTCGGTTGTAATGGCCATGCATCAGCCCTCCTTGTTTGCAGTAACATCGTAGTAGTGGAGGTTGAGATCACTTGCTCTCTGCAAACATGCAAAATGTGGCCGTAGCTGTTGACAATCGCCCTAAATGCAGCCGAAATGACCTTTTGTTTGCACTAACTGTGTTGGGCTGCAGTTTCTGGGTGCCGTTATTTCGTAAACATTCTGCATGATGAATATAGCTGTGTCAGGCCTGAAAATTGCCATAAATAAAGCCAACACGAACATGCATTTATGTTTTGTGGAAAACTTTAGGCATGATAGCACAGGGAGACCAAATGGCCTCAGTTCCTGCCACTCCCTCCCTCTCCCACTGCTTGCTTGGCTCCATCATATTGGAGTTGAGCAGTGTGACACTTTTGTCGCAGTATAGGTTGCAGGAGGATATTTTGGGTTGTGCTGGTTCAGCAGATGTCATTTAGAACACGGTTAGTATGATGCCAGCTTGTGTGAAATATGTGTACAAGGCCTGGGAATGCGGTTGACATGTGCTCAAAGGCCAGAAAGGGGAACGACGCGAACAAGTCTCATGGCAACAAGAGTGCGCATGTCACTTGCTATCAACGGTTGATACTTTTTTTTTCCTTTCCATGATTGCACCATTGCATACGAGTTGACAAGACGAAAAAATGGAAATAGCGTGTTGCCCTTCGAATTCAAAAAAACGGAAAA